AAAAAAAAAAAAAAAAGCCCTGCGGATTGATCCGGGCGATATTTTTGGGTAAATACAATCACGTGAGGACGGGCAGCCAATGGCGCGGGGGGAACGGCTGAAAAAATAATTACCTGCCCTGATTGTTCTATGAGCAGATAAAAAGTACACATACACTTCATACAATAATCCCATGAATGTAAAAGAGGGGGCGAGCGAACCATGTCGGCTTCGGGCCCCATCAGCAACTACTACGTGGACTCGCTGATCGGCCCCGACAACGAGGAGCTGCTGGCCCCGCGCTTCGGCCCCGGCGCCGCTCGCCCCGCCGGACTCGTCCCCGACTGCTCCGACTTCCCCTCGTGCAGTTTCGCCCCCAAACCCGCCGTTTTCACCACCTCGTGGGCGCCCGTGCCCTCGCAGCCCCCGGTGGGCTACCCCCACCCGCACCCCGCCGGCCCCTACGCGCCGCAGGCGGCCGAGCCCAGGTACGTGCGGACCTGGCTGGAGCCGCTGGCCGGGGCCGTCTCCTTCCCGGCCTTCGGGGCTCGGCCCTTCGGCCTCAAGGCGGATCTGGGGCCGCGGGGCCGCGCCGAGTGCGGGGACGGGCGCGGCTACGCGGATTTGGTGTACGCGGCTCCCGGGGAGCTGCGGGAGCGGGCGGCGCTGAGCATCGCGTCCTCCCCCGAGTGCGAGGCCGTCGCCGCCGGCAAACACAAAGAAGAAAAGCACGAATTAGACCCCAGTAAGTCCGAGTCATTCTTGTTTACGACCGCGGAAGGCATTACGGCTTCCAGGACCCCACTCAATAAAATGGAATTACCTTAGGGAGAGAGAGAGAGAGAGAGAGAGAGAGAGAGAGAGAGATGGAGCGCGACCCTAAAACTCCAGAGGCGCAGGAAGGTTCTGGGGGTTTTCGGCGAGTCGGAAACTCCAGAGGAGCAGGAAGGTTCTGGGGGTTTTTCGGCGAGCCCACTTTCTTTCAGGCTCTTTGATTTCTTTTTTTTTTTTTTCCCCTTAATTTTTGGTGTTTTTTAAGGTTTTTCTGTGGTTTTTTTGGTGTTTTTGTTTCCTTTTTAAATCCACCTTTTATTCTTTGTTTTTTTTTTTTTCCCTTTTTTGCTTTATTTTTATTTTTTTTAAATAACATTTTTTATTCCACTCAGGGGGCTGCTCTGATCCCCCCCTTTCCGCCGGGAATTAAACCAATAATAATAACAACAACAATAATAATAATAATTAATAATAATAAAATTAATAAATAATAACAATAATAAATAATTCCAGGGGAAGAGCGTGCATGCGCGCCAGGGCGAGAAAAAAAAAAAACAACCAAAAAAAACCTCTTTGGCTCCCAAAAAATTCCCACTTTCCAGGAACAAGGAAGAGTTCGGGGCCGCCTGGCAGCCAGCGTCAGGATGTGGGGGTGGATTTTGGGTGGTTTTATTATTATTATTAATTATTACAATTATTATTGTTTTTCCAGGGGAAGGGAACATCTCAGGGGCGCTCCTTTATCCCCTGGAAAAATCAATAAAAACTCCGGTTGTTCCCAAATTATTCTTTTCCTCCCCCCCACACCCGATAAATTCCCGAAAAATCCGAATTCCTGCTCCACGTGGGAATGAGGGGAAAGGTGGGAGGGGGCAGCGGGAATGGGGACAAAAATCGGGATTTTAGAGCAGCTGAGGGGGGAACTTTAAAACAGCCCCAAAAAAGCCCCAAAAAGCCCCAAAAAAGCCCCAAAAAAGCGCAGCTGGGAGGGAGCGGAGCCCGAAGCGGGCCGGGGCAGGGAGCGGCTCGGAGGAGCCGGAACGGCCCCAAATGAACCCAAAAACCTCCGGGGGCCCCGGGCCCGCTTTTGGGGCCGATTCGGGGGAATTTGGGACGATTTGGGGCCGATTCGAGGGAATTTGGGGCCGATTCTGGGCGATTTGGGGCGATTTGGGGCAGTTTCGGAGAGATTTGGGGCCGATTCTGGAGGGATTTGGGGTCGTTTTGGGGCTATTTGGGGCCGTTTTGGGGGATTTGGGGCAGTTTCGGAGAGATTTGGGGCCGATTCTGGAGGGATTTGGGGTCGTTTTGGGGCTATTTGGGGCCGTTTTGGGGGATTTGGGGCAGTTTCGGAGAGATTTGGGGTGGTTTTGGGGTCGTTTCGGGGGGATTTGGGGCCGGCAGCCCCCGCTCCCCCGTGGCCGTGCCCGCCGGGCCGCTGCCAACCCGCGAGAGGAAATTTGGGGTGCGAAACCTCCCCGAGCTGCCAAAAGCACCCCAAAAACCTCCCGGGGTTGGGGGGAAAAGCCGCGGTGTGAAAATCCCTCCTAAAAAAACCCCAAAAAAACCCGAAAAAAGCTTAAAACCCCAGAAAAACCCATTAAAAAAACCTTAAAAAAACCCTAAAAAAAACCCCCCAAAAACCCCAAAAAATGGGATTTTTGCGGCTCCCCGCGTGTCATCCCGGAGATATTAAAAAAAGCCAAGGCGGCTTTGCAGGTCCGGGAGAGCTTCTGGGGAAAGTCTTGGCGAGCTGAGGTTGTAAAAAGAGTTTATGGGCCTATGAAATGGTGGGAATTTTGACTTTTTATGACTGCGTTCCTCGATTACCGCCAGCAGCAGCAGCAGCAGCCGCCATGTGGATCATTATTATTATTATTATTGTTATTATTATTATTATTATTTTAAACCCAGCGCGCCGCTTTCATTTCGATTTTTTCATTATTTTTATATATATATTTATTTATTTTTTATTTATTTTTTTTTACCGAAAGTTTATTTTTTTTATGTTTGTTTGGGTTTTTATTTTTTTATATATATATATTTTTTTTTTTTTTTGGTTATTTTTTAAAACGTGAGAACGGCAGCGAAAAGAGAAAAAGGAAGTGACCCCCTCCAAAATAAACAGATTAAACCCTTGTGAAGGTCACTTAAAATATTTAGGTAAGAGCTGCTAATTAAACAGGTTCTGGCTTTAGGGCGTGGAGGGGGGGGAGGGAAAAATTAATAAAAATTATTTTTTTAAAAAAAAATATGAAAAAAGCGCCCGATTTTGTACATTGATTTTTTCCCCCTCTCAAAAAAAAAAACATTAAAAATAAGAAAAAAATTACAAAATATTCCCCCCCCCAAAAATTAATTTATTTTTTTTTTTAAATTATAGATATATCTATATATATATATATATATAAAAAAAAAATCTTCTTTCTCAGACAACCCCGTAGCAAATTGGATTCACGCGCGCTCCACGAGGAAGAAACGCTGCCCTTACACAAAATATCAGACCCTGGAACTGGAAAAAGAGTTTTTATTCAATATGTACCTCACGCGGGACCGGAGGTACGAAGTGGCGCGGGTGCTGAACCTCACGGAACGCCAGGTCAAAATCTGGTTTCAGAACAGGCGAATGAAAATGAAGAAAATGAATAAAGAGAAAAGCGATAAGGAGCAGCAATAATAATTTAATAAAAAAAAAAAAAAGAAAAAAAAAAGAGAGAGTTTGGAAGAGAGGAAAAAAAAAATAAATAAAAAAGCAGAAGGGAAAACAAAACAAAAAAAAAAACAAAAAGCGGAAAAAAAGAAGGGGAAAAAAAGAGGAAAATAATAATAATTAATAATAATAATAATAATAAAAAGGGGTGAAATGTTTCTGACTTGGATGAATGTTTAGCGGTAGAGGTTTGGGGGCTCGAGGCTTTTCTAAAATGAGGCTAAAAACGGCAAAAAGAGAGCAAAAAAAAAGGAAAAAAATAATAAAAGATGCCCGGGGGGGTTCGGTTTTCTCTTCCTTTCTTCCGCCTCGCAAAAGCGGCACGAGAAGTACTTGAATTTTTATTTTGATGTTTTTTATTATTATTATATTTTATTTCCTAAATTAAAGCTGAATCCAGTATTTTGAATTTTTTTTTTTCTTTTTACCGAATTTTTGGGGTTTTTTTTTGGGGGGGGTGGGGAGGGAAGGAATCCCGCGAGGGAATATTTTGTACAAAAAACCAAAAAAAGAATTACAAAAAAAAAGGGGGGGGAAAAAGGAAAAAATGAGGGGAAAAGGGGAAAAAAAAGGACTGGAGGGAATGGTGGCTCCCGATGCTGATGTTGTCACGGTGTTGAACGTTTCTGCTGTACCGATTTTGTGTATTTTATCCTCGTCTCAGACCCGTTCTGTAATATTTGTTCTGTCGCCTATTGTAGAGCAGCTCTCTGTAAATATTCATTTTAAAAAAAAAACCCAAAATCCCACCCGAAACCGACAAAAAAACGGCAAAAAAAGCAAAAAAAAACCGGCCTTGGAGGTGTTTTTTTTCTTTAAAAGCAGCCCCGGGGCTCGGCCCGAGCATCCCCGAGAGGTTTTTTTTTTATATATATATAATATATAATTTATTTAATTTTTTATTATTAATTTTTTTTTTTCCCGGTGCATTTTCAGTGCCCCGAACGCTGCGGTAAAAAAAAAAAAAATTAAAAAAAAAAAAAAAAAGCGCTGAGGTAAGGGATCCGCGCGCCATCAATTGCGAGATCGCGATAATTAATTGCGCTAATTTATGGCCGCGGGCCGGCGGAGGATGTGCTGGGGGGGAAAAAAAAAAACCAGGGAAAAAGGGAAAAAAAAAACTGGGAATGAATGGAGGAGCTTTGGAAGCGGCGGCCGCTGATCCCGAGCTGGAAATGAAAGGGGGAAAATTAATTAAAAAATCAAATTAAATGCCCGGGGTGCCTGCGAGGAGAGGAGGGGGAGGGAAAAAAGGAGAAATCGCAAATTTTTGGGGCGGAAAAGCCAAAAAAACGCAGCGGAGCCGCGAGCTCCCCTCCTGGTTTTGGGGGTTTTTGCGCCGGGAGGGGGAAATAATTTAAAAATAAAACCCCAAAATTTTGGGGGAGGCCGCGGAAAGGTGAAAATTCCGGGGGAGGAAAATCCGCGAGCCTTCCTCCCTTCCCGGGATGCGGAGAGAGGCAGGAAAAATGAGGAAAAATCAGGAAAAATCAGAAAAAAAAACAGGAAAAGGCAGGAAAAGGCAGGAAAAGGCAGGGAAAAGGAGCAGCGAGCGCTGTTTAATCAGAAAAATCCCTTTTGGAGGTGCCTTTCTTTAATTAAAAAGGGTCGGGATGGCGCTAATCAGGACCAGACCGCGCGGGCGGGACGCGCTCGTCGCCCTCGTCCCGCTTTTCCCCCAAATCCCTCCCCTGATTCCCAAAAAAATAAATCTGGAAGCGATTATTCCTGCTGATCCGATAAAACATCGCTCTCTAGTATTTCTCTGCTTCTGATGTCGGGGTTTTTTTGGGGGGTTTTCTTTTGATTTTCCCTTTTCCCGGGGTTTTGGCACCGACGGGGGGGACAGGAGAGGCGCAAAAATCTCATTTTTCCGTCCCAATTTTGCGCCAGAGGAGGAAAAAACACCACAAAAATCCCCTCGTGAGCCATCCCTGAAACTCTCGGGGTGGAAAATATTATTTTTAATTTTTTTTAATTTTTTTTTTAAGCCTAGCGGGAGATTTATGGCCGAAAAAATAAATAAAATCAGGAGAAAAAATAAATAGGTCGGGGGAGGGGGGAGCTCCTACCAAAAGGCGATTTTTATTTTTACAAAATTGCGATGGTTATTGTTAATATTTTTTCCGTCCTCCGCCCGGAATAAAGAATAAAACCGCCGCCCTCCCCGCCCGTTTTAGCGTCATTAATTAATCTCATTAATTAATTAAAAGGGGAAATGAGGGGCAGGAGCGGCTCCTGCAAAGGCCGCGACCCGCGGGGAGCTCGGCCCGGCCCCGATCCCATTCCCGGCTCTGTCCCCAATCCCATCCCTGTCCCCATCCCTGTCCTTGTCCCCTCCTGTCCCCATCCCAGCCTTTGTTCCCATTTCCTCTGTCCCCTCCTGTCCTCATCCCAATTTTTGTCCCGGTCCCCATCCCTGTCCCCATCCCGGTCTTTGTCCTCGTCCCCATCCCTGTCCCCATTTCCTTTGTCCCCTCCTGTCCCCATCCCGATCTTTGTCCCCGTTTTCCCTCTCCCTATTCCCATTTCCATCCCTGTCCCCATCCCAATTTTTGTCCCCTGTCCCCATCCCAATCCCTGTCCCCCTTTCCTTTGTCCCCATCCCGATCCCTGTCCCCGTTTTCCCTGTCCCCATCCCCATTTCCATCCCTGTCCCCTCCTGTCCCCACCCCGATCTTTGTCCCCATTTCCTTTGTCCCCATTTTCCCCGTCCCTGTCCCCGTTTTCCCCATCCCGATCTTTGTCCCCATTTCCCGGTCCCTGTCCCCTCCTGTCCCCTCCCCGCCCCCCCCGGTCACTTTTAGGGTCCCTTTGTCTCTCCGGGGCTTTTCCCTTCTGTGGGGTCGCGCTCTTGGTCACGGGCAAGGCCCGAGCGCGACCCCCGAGCGCGTCCCCGCGACCCCCGAGCGCGTCCCCGCGACCCCCGAGCGCGTCCCCGCGACCCCCGCCCCCAACCCCCCCCGGGCTCTGCATTTCTGCTCCCCAAAAAACCCCCAAACACCCCCAAAACACCCCCAAAATAACCCCAAAACTCCCCCAAAAAACCCTCAAAACACCCCCAA